TGCAGCCCGATCTAGATCTGCAGTTGGAACCTTACTTTTGAGGCGAGGAAGCTGAACTAGGGTCTGGTTCTGATCCCCATCCAGCAGTGGGACCACCTCTGGGAGCCTTTCTTGCGGAGTCGGCTTGTCATTTAAATCCTGGTGTGCAGCGGAGAACTGCTCTGGCCCCAGGGGCAGCTCTTCAGCTGAATCCGTGTCCAGGAATGGAACCAAATTTTCAGTCGATTCCTGGGGTGGGGCTGACATCTGCGAGGAAGCAGAGGGCCCCAGGTAATCAAAGTCCCCCGGGTCTGCTGGGGTAGTGGGCGCATGGGGATATTCCCATGGGAGATGGGAGGAGCGGGAAGACCGGGGCTCAGGCGGCCCCAGGGGGTTAGAGGTCAGCTGGAGTGGGTCCTTGACCCACTCCAGAGGCTGAGCCTCCTTGACTAGTAGACACAATAGTTGCCACGTGAGGAGGGGCCATAGGCCCCAGAAACGCAGCCGGGACATGAGGCACGCTGGCACCGCGCACTGAGCGGGAGCCATTCTGGCAGCCCTGAGACACTCATGCCTCTTATAAGCGTGCGCCCCACCCTGTGTTTATGACACCTTTATTTATGCCACAGATCTGTTCCATGCACCAGAGCATTCTTATGTCACAATCCTGCCCAGGCACCTCTTCCCACCCTGCCCCGTGGGAACACCCCTCCCCTTCCCTTAGTGAGGAAGGATTTGGCCCATAGACCCAGGTGGTCCCACGACTCCAGCGGCCTGCTGTGGTGGGGTGGGGATGGGATGGGGTGGAGTGGGGTGGGGTGGGGTGAGGGCACAGCAGAGCTTCCCAAGGAAGTCACAGGACCTCGCCTCAGGATCTTCAGAAGTGCTAGTCCAGTTCTGGCAGCCTGAACTCTTCCTCCTCCAAGGCGAAATCCGAGCATACTCTTCCTTCCAGGGAGAGCAACTGAGCTGCAAAATGGGCGCCAGTTCGGGTGGCAGGCAAGACGCACATTACAGTCATTTATTCCAAAATTTGCCATTTTCGCTAAACTTTCGGTATCTTTTGTTGCATGTTTTGCATGTTTGATAATGAATTCACCACCCTACTAGGTAGGGGCTGCCAGGGAACAAGCGAGGACTCCACATTTTCTGTAGGAGGGGTGTTGGGGGTGGGCAATTCAGTCTGGGAGAGACGGCTTTAATCTGAGTGAAGAGCCTTTTGCGCTAGCCTGGGAGGAGGCTGAACTGTCATCCTGCCTTGACTCAACACAGCCATTACCCTAGAAGTTACAGCGCCACCCTTCAGAGATCTACCCTGTGTGCACACATGGAGAAGAGGCTTAGGCTGTTGAAGTCAGCATGTTAAATAATTTCCTGAAATTCGACTATAACTAGGACCCAGCTGACTTCCCCCACAGCCATTCTTACCTATTTTGTTACTGTCTGGCACAATTA